TTTGGTTGAAATTTGACCTAGGCCCTTCTCTCCTGTTGGGCTGCCTAAATAAAGATATGTTAGAAACATACAAAAATACAGAATAAAATATAAACCATATTTTTGTATTCCGTGTATGGGTTGGGATCGGATTAAATTAAAAGTTTGAATGGAATATGATTCCAATAACAAAAGCTGGCTCATTATTTTACCGTTCGGATTGACATCTGTTAAACGAAACTTAACATAGTTAATTAGATAGTTTAGTTTTCTCTCTACTGATTGATCTTCATAGATTACAAACTTAGATTAAATTTAGGATATATTTTATTTCGCTTACTTTGATTATACAGCAAAAATTCTATAAGTTAATAAATAATAATGCTGGAATATGATTATTTATTTTTTAAAATAAATACTTTTATCTATAATTTAATTTAGAAAAAAATTAAGTTCAAGTAGTATAATTAAACTTTTCAAATGGTAGTTTAATAATAACAATAATTTTGTGGTTGTTTCAACGAAGAAAACTAAAAGAAGAAAGTTGATATCAAAAAAAGAGAGGAAAATAAAATGTCCATGTTTTTTAGTTTAAAAGTCTTCACTCGGTGTTCTACGGTTACCGCTGTTCAAAATAACTTCCAAAACTAACCCTCTATTTCTCTCACTCTTCGAGTTAATAAGCCGTAACTGTCTACAGTTTCAAGGGTATTCTTGTAAACGCCCGTCTCCTTAACTAATAAAATTTCTCAGTTTCTTTCTTCTCCAAAAGTCATTTCTTCTCTCTAGAAATGAATGTTTGATGATTCCTTTTGTCGGAGAAATGAATCCCTAGAGCTCCTTGAATAATCTTCGGTGAATTTCATATTTTATCATCCTACTTTATTTGATGATCGAGATGGTTCCGTTGGCAGTGGATTTTCTGGTACCTTCCACGTGGGAGATTGAGGTTGCGGTGGCTGCTTCCGCTTTCTTGATCGTTTCTTATTGGCTATTCGCTTACAAAGTCGACGGAGATGACGAAGCTAACGGTGGTGTTGGATTTGATCAGGGTACCGGTGGTGACGCCATCTTTGACAAAGACAAGGTTTTGATTTTTTTTTCTAAATTGAACGGTTATTCAGTATCCGTAGCCTGAGAAATCTCGTGGGTGATAAACAAGTTTTTGACTTGCGGTTTGTGCTATTATTTTTGTTGTTGTGTAGATAGGACAGTTGAGAGGAGACACTCAGACAAATGCTCCATACATAATCAAGGTATGTTGTTAGTGTCTGAAAATGGTGCTCATGTTTCATCTGCTTGTCTGAACAATTTGAAGATTGATGTCGGATACTAACATTTCATATTTTGCCAGGTGGAATTACTGGCTGCTAAGAATCTCATTGGTGCTAACTTAAATGGAACATCAGATCCTTATGCTATTATCAATTGTGGATCAGAAAAGCGGTTCAGGTTGTGAAAAATGTTTTTTTTTTAATTAGTTCTTTTTTTAAGATGTTACAACTTGGTGGTCTAGTTTTTGAGTGCTTACAGTTTGGTCTGTCTAATATATCTCTTTTCTTGTTGTAGTTCTATGGTCCCTGGCTCTAGGAATCCAATGTGGGGTGAAGAGTTCAATTTTCCCACTGATGAGCTTCCTGTTAAGGTTATCATTATTTACAACTCTTAAGATTCTTAAGGACTTAATTTTCTTCATTAAAATTCTCATGTGAAGGAGCCTAGCCATTAGGTTGATCGTCATGTTGAAACCATTTGGTATCTTGTAGGATGATTTTTTTTTCCAATAGGTAAAGAATACTGAAAAGCAGACGTTTTCAAACAGTTACCATATGTTTTCTTGTGTCAGATCAATGTAACAATTCATGACTGGGATATTATTTGGAAAAGTACTGTCCTTGGCTCAGTTACTATTAGTGTCGAACGTGAAGGCCAGACGGGTCCAGTGTGGCACTCATTAGATAGCCCATCCGGACAGGTATGTATGTTCCTAGTTTCTGTTTGCATGTTTTTCCAGCGAAGGGTCTTATGTCAAGCCTTCTTGTTTCCTTAGAGGCTAAATCCGAATTTGTTTGTCAGGTTTGCCTTAACATCAATGCGATCAAACTACCGGTGAATGCTTCTAGGTAGTCCGCTCTACTTCAATTTTTTGAGTAAATGGTTTATCTTGTTTAGAGAGTAGAGCACAATAAATTTAGACGAGGTTGTGTTGTGTTTAAAAAATGAGTTTTCATTGGTAGGGCTATAACTGGATATGCTGGAGCCTGTAGAAGAAGGGTCTCGTTGGATCAGCAAGGTCCAACAATTGTGCATCAAAAGCCAGGGCCTCTGCAGACGATATTTGATCTCCTCCCTGATGAGGTAAGCTAGTCACTAGTCACTACTAAGTACTAACTGTAATATTTATTGTAGGATCTCATAAAGGGTTAAAACATCATGTGGCTGAGATGTGTTTTCTATTATATGTTGGATACTCTAATTATGTTAAATGGATTCTTCCTTAGGTTGTTGAGCACAGCTATTCATGTGCTCTGGAGAGGTCATTCTTGTATCATGGCCGAATCTATGTTTCTGCGTGGCACATATGTTTTCACTCGAATGTTTTCTCTAAGCAAATGAAGGTCAGTGCTTCTGTAAGTTTAGTAAACACAGTCTGCGTTGTATGAATTAATGGTAAAATATTCCTATCCCTCTCATTTTGCAGGTAGTTGTACCTTTGGGAGATATAGATGAGGTAGTATTATTTTCTTGACCACTCAGAATTTCCCTTGATATAAACTCATAACAGGGCTGATCATGCGTAAATGTTTTATCGTTTCTTGTAGATTCGTAGAAGTCAACATGCACTGATAAATCCAGCTATAACAATCATACTACGGATGGGCGCTGGTGGACATGGTGTTCCCCCTCTTGGGACTCCTGATGGTTAGAGATTTATGTTTATTACTGGATTTTTCAGATTTTTGATTAGATTAAACTTCATGTCTTTTTACATCTTCAGCTAACAATTTTTAATGTTAATTTATAACAATTTCACATTTGGTTTCTGGTCTAGCCTTTTGCCTGTAGGACCAAAATTTAGTTTTTAGAAAGATTTATCTGTAATGGTGCTTTGTCATGTTTATGTCTCTATGGAAAACCTTCTTTATTTCAGGTAGAGTGAGGTATAAATTTGCATCGTTTTGGAACAGGAACCATACACTAAAAGCATTGCAGCGTGCAGTCAATAATTATCATGCAATGTTAGAAGTTGAAAAGAAGGTCTCTCTCCTTTTTGGCTGAGCATTTAAGTTTGATGTGATTGCCTGAAAACTTAACATTTTTGGTGGCTTGTTACTCTATAGGAGAGAGCAGAATCTGCTTTGCGTGCTCATAGTAGCTCTGTGAGAGGAGGTGGTAAAGTACAAGTCAAAGCTCCTGAAGATGCTGTAGCCGTACCTGTAAAGTCTCAGGCATTTGTTAAGGAAGAAGTACTTGTCGGCATTTACAATGTAAGCATTTGTTTCTTCTCGTTAATGCTTATAGTTGTTTTCTGGAAACATTTATGGATCATAATCATTGTATGCAGGATGTTTTCTCAAGTACACCTGAACAATTCCTGAAGCTTTTGTTGGCTGATGATTCCACTTATACTAATGAGTACAGATCTGCACGAAAGGATAAGAATCTTAATGTAAGTTTTGGTATTACTATTTAGATCATTCGCCTTCATACATCGGGTTCTTTAGATTAGACTTATCTGGAACTTTGTGATCATTCAGATTGAGCCTTGGCATACTGCTGAAGAATATGATGGTCAAGTTAGAGAGATTAAGTTCAGATCTATTTGTAATAGTCCCATGTGTCCACCAGACACTGCTGTGACGGAATGGCAGCACGTTGTTCTGTCACCAGATAAGAAACTGCTGGTAAGAATATGATTTTTACTTATAGAATAAGTTTCTACAAGCAAAATGGATCAAGGAGATGATATCCCATTCCCATGTGATGATACTTATATATTTCTTTCTTCTATAGGTTTTTGAAACTGTGCAACAGCCACATGATGTTCCTTTTGGTTCTTACTTTGAGGTGCGTCAATCTCTTTGCAACCCATCACTCAATATTTCAGCTTTGCATGCACCTTAATCTTTGTTTGAATCAGGTCCATTGTCGATGGCGATTGGAAGCAAAAGAGGAGACCTCCTCTGTAATAGATATAAGAGTTGGTAAGTAATTCAGGGGAAGTGTGTGTTTAGTTGAGTAAAACTTGCAGTGGCACAATGTAGTATGATGATTCTATATCCATCTTACAGGTGTACATTTCAAGAAATGGTGCTTGATGCAATCTAAGATTAAAGCAGGAGCAATTGATGAGGTTAGTTTTATGTCCTTGTTCCGATCTGACTACGCTTAAGATTCCGCTAGAATAGGTTTAGTTCTGATGCATTTGGGTATTTGATACTTGTAAAATACCAGTACAAGAAAGAAGTGGAAGTGATGCTTGAAGTGGCAACGTCGTATCTCAAGTCACACTCGTCCTCAAGCAGCCATGGGAATATAGATAACAACTCTGCTTCTCCGTTACCTCCAATACCAGAAGACATAAGCTCCTAACTTTACCAAAATCGAAACAGCTTCTTAAATTATCCATCCCCCCAAATCTTTAAGTTCTTTTTACATGTGAAAATGTATATTGTTGCCGTAACTATTTGTTAGGATGGATATTATCATATTAACAGGGGCTTTGTCTGATTTCTGGTGCTAGTGATAAATAACAAAGAGAAATGAAAAAGTTTGAGTTCTCTGACAACTCTCTTTGAATAGAGTTGATCAGCAAAATGAAATTTTCCATAAACCCTCAACATTCAAACACTTGAAGCTGAATCTTTGTCCAAGTAACAATAGGAACAACTCTTGGATTGCAAAATGTAAGATAACAAGAATGAATCCTCATACTTGCACCATTCGAAAGCAGAATTTGAAAGAGGTTGTCCAGGTGCCTTGAACACAAGGGTGCTTGGTCAAATGTCTACTCCTCAGCTTCACCACTTTCCTTCTAAGAGAGAGTTCCTCATCCTCATTGCATTCAAAAGCACTTGTTCAGGATCCATGTTTTTTACACTCAAACACCACCCTCTCATTTCTATTCCCTATACAAAACCGTATATAAACCCTTACATTCCCCCTACGTTATAACAAGTAACAAAAAGGGTAGAGAGTACATAATGGATATGCCCTTGAGGTAAGGATGTTGCCCCCTTGCAAGCTCGGTTACCACTTCCAGCTGCGGATTTTTCTCTATCAGTGCAGGCAATTCTGATTCCGTAAAGGCTCTGTTTATAACAACAATAAACATGTTCAGTACTAGTTCCTAACTATGAAATGGTAACGTTCATTACATGGATACATCAAACAAAGAACAATAGACCAAACTTGTAAAGGTTCGTATAGACAGACACTAAAGAATTGGTGGTACGTACGTTATGCCTCTACTGTACCTCCCCAGTTACAGTAGCTCACAACCAGCTTCTGGAGTTGCCATACTCCTCTAAGCGCCATCTCAAATCTCCTGAAAGTCCCCAACCAAAAACCTACTCTTCTGTGTCATTGAATTTGATGAATCAAAAGAAAAATGTAACGCCCGACCGTCCATGGCTAATAGGCCACCCACGTCCGCTCTTTCGGCCCGTGAGCTCCATCCCGTTCTAACCGTCGTTCGGATAATTTTTTAAGGCTCTGGAGTATGTTTACTGACCCTGCAATCACCACATGACCTTTCCCCGTGCTTTGGCCTCACTTACACGATATTTCAAATCATTTTCCGATAGGTCACCCATCTTTTGACTACTCCAGCTCAAGCACGCTTAACTCTGGAGTTCTCTCTGGATGTGCTCGCGAAAAGGTAATTGCACTTTGATGATATAGGTAACCAAATCAATCATCTTAAACCTTTTCATATATCACAACTCGGGATGTTACAAAAAAAGTCACGTGATAGGTGACATGATTGTAAGCGACTGTTTCATAATTTTGACTTTTGCATTTGAGTTTTTTGTAGTTGTTGTTGTCGTAGCTCAATGCTAGTCCTAGAGTGAAAAGGTTATTTTAAATTACAAATAAAATGATGCAAAGTTGGTCTGTTTACTTTATATATTATATATATATTTACCTAGTAACTTTTTACTCTCATGTTCGAGAACTTATGAATTTCTCTTGTTTTGATTTATGATCATTGATGAGTAAAATCTTTGCAATTTGTATATAAATTACTTGACATATGCTCAGAGACGATGAATATACATCTTAAAATAAAACTTAATATGAATATAAAAAGAAACTAACCTTTTACAATTAAACTGATAATATTTTTTTTTTAAGACTTTCATCTATTTTTTTAAATATTTAAATTGGGAAGACGCTCTATTTCCCTCTGAGAAGTATCATATATCACCAGACCCACACAGACTTTGGCTCTCGTTCTATTTCCATACAACTACTATGTTTAAATCTCATTTCTCCCCAAAAAACAAAGTTCGAAGTCTATATCTCCATACCGCCGAAGTTAATGATCGAAATACACATAAGCTTAGATTAAACTCAGTTTACTGTTTATATTAAACCGTAACTCATTGTTACCCAACTATAAACCAAAGTTATCCACCTAAGATCCGATTATACTTGAATTAAACCGGATTAAGACCCAATTGTTATTGGTTAACCCGAATATAAGAAAAATCCCCAATTGTTTCAGCAAGCGTAGACCCTAGTTCTTCCCCAGAAAACAAACGAAAAAAGAAGAAGCCGACGATTTCTAGGATTCTGGCTGATTGGTTGTCGGAATCATGTTTACAGGCTGTGAGAACTCGAATCCCTCACTTAGGGACGAATCAGACGACGAAGAAGAGATAGACAAAAACGCGTTTCGGGTGGAAGAAGATGTAGCCGCCTTCACAGATGAACCTCCCATCCGTCACAATATATATCCGGATTCTGAGACTGACAGTGATGCAGATGATGATGAAGAGCAGCAAATAGCGCGACAGAGGACCAGAGATCGTTATCGAGTTAGAAGAGGTGATGAAAATCTGTTTGAGGGAAAAATATTCTTCAATGGAGTTGCATTCAAAGAGGCTGTACTGGACTACGTTCTCAGGACATGGTACAACATTCAACAGTATAGGTATGACAAAACCAAACTTGGTTTTTGTTGTGCTGGTCTGAATGTGGATTCACAGTGTCAGTGGCGTGTTTACTGCTCGAGTAAAGGAGACCCAGTTAGATGGTATGTTAAAGTGTACATAGCTGTGTTCCAAATGGAGAATGCGAGATGATGAAGGTTCATGTGATAGCTAGATTGTTTGTTGATAAGATAAGAGAAGAGCCAGATTATTTCATGCCGAAGAAAATAGAAGAATTGATCAAGGAAAGGTGGAAGATCACGGTTTCTAGATCACAATGCCAAGCAGATAGAAACAAAGCAATGAGGTGGGTTGAAAAGGAGTATGATGCTCAGTTTGGTCGACTCCGAGACTATGCTGCTGAGATTCTCGAGTCCAATGTCAATTCTTCGGTTGAAGTTCAGACCATAAGAAATGAGCAAGGAAAAGATGTGTTCGACCGCTTCTATGTGTGTAATGATGCCCTTAGGAGATCATGGAAAGCGACGTGTAGGCCTCTTATCGGGATGGATGGCACCTTCTTACGTGGGAAAACTAAAGGACAGTTGTTAGTGGCTCTTGGTCGAGATGCAGATAATGAAATCTACCCCCATTGCTTGGGCAGTTGTTCAAGTAGAGAACACTCCTAATTGGGTGTGATTTGTGCAGCATATCAAGGAAGATTTAGGCTTATAAGATGGTGATGGGTATATTATGATCTCTGATCGTCAGAAGGTATGTTTATGGTCGTTGAAGAGTTAGTATTTAATATGTTTTAGCGTTGAATGTCACTCATGTTTGTGGGTGTGTGATCGGTTTCAGGGATTAATCAAGGCAGTCCAGTTAGAGCTTCCAAAGATGGAGCAAAGAATGTGTGTTAGACACATTTATGCCAACGTGAAAGCTAAACATGGAAAGAAGACTGAGCTGAAGAAATATATTTGGAACCTTGCTTGGAGCTACAATGAGATGGAGTGTAAAGAAATTCTAGATAGGATGTCCAACTACGAATACTTGGGTTAGAGCTTTCTTCAGATTAGGGAACTATTGTTAGGATGTTTAGAACAACTCAACTGAATCCTTCTATTCTTCCATTGTTAGTGCTCGAGAGAAGCCCCTAGTACCGATGTTGGAGACCATTGCGCGACTTGCAATGGTGCGTATTGCTAGTAGAGATGTGAAGGCTCTAGATCACAAGAGTATATGTACACCCTACGTGACTGACATACTCGCTATTGAGCACCAAAAAGCATCATTGTGTGCGGTTTATAGAAGCACAAATGGTATGTGGTTAGTGAACCTTGAGGGATGTTATTACCGTGTAAATTTGGAGAAGCGAACATGTACTTGTATGAAGTGGGATATCACTGGGATCCCATGTGAACATGGATATGGAGTCATCATGCATAGGAAACTAGAGGCTGAGGATTTCGTGTGTCACTGGTTTCGGACAAACACATGGAGGAGGACATATGAAGAGGGGATAACACCAATAAGAGGAGCACGATTTTGGCCAACTTGTAATGCTTATGAAGTGCATCCAGCTCTTGAGCCAGACCAACCTGGTCGCACAAAGAAGGGCAAGGGGAAGAAAGACAAAAGAAAAAAGAGTACAAATGAGTCTCCTATCAAGAAGAAACCGAAGGCATTGAAACGCATCATGCATTGTGGACTTTGTGGTGCACCCAACCACAACATTCGTTTTCACAAGAAGAAGGTATTTTTCATTATTTCTTTCATATATTACAGTCTCCTTTCATAATTTACATACAACTTGTTTCTTGATCTTATAGGGTACATAAGGTGAACCATCTCAATCATTTGTCAGTCAAGGTGAATCTTCACAAGCTTGAAGATATTTCTATATATAAGAGGGACTAGGAGAGGAAGAGCACAAATATTTTTTTGGGTTGTGTCTTCTCTCTTTTTCGGATTTGTTGTTTTTTTTTTTAATGGAAATTGGGATTTGGTTGTTTTTGGGTATTGTCATCTTCATGTATAAACAAGCAGTGTTGGTCTTCTCTTCTTTATGTATGAACATGAATCTATCATGCATGTTTAACCAAAAACTGTTTCAGATTTGTTGGCATTATCATATTTGTTTTGGTATTCATTTTCACGAACATGAAAGGCAACAATTTCATTTAAACATAGCTTCCCAAACATAACAAAGTCAAGTACAAGATACACGTTTTCATTGCATAACACAAGCTGAACTAAAATGAAATCCATCACACAAGTTTGATGATGGCAAACCCAAGCATACAACCTATTACAACAGCAACACACATTTTCTTCATGTTCCATTTTGCTTCCACCAACAGCTCCTCCATTGTCTCAAAGACCTCTTTCTCTAGCTTCATTTCTATCTTCTCAAATGCATTCCTCTCACCTTCTATTCTTTCCATGAGAATTTATTTCACCATTTCTTCAAGCCTATTTGTTTTGTTCTTCAAAGCCTCTATCTCATCTAACAAAGACTCATCCATCCACTTGAAAGAATGATTATCATTCTCAAGCTAAAATAGATCAAGTTAGAATCTGAGTTTTTGAGGATTAAATGTATTAGGTGTGAGCATTACCTTTTTTGCAGAAGCAAAAGAACATCTATGGTAACGACGGTACGGATTTTTGTCAGATTTTGACATGAATGTCTTCACTTCATAATCCGCACCAACACTGTTTTGGGAAACCCATGATCCTTCTCCCTGGACGAATCATTGACGATCCACTTGAAGCTCCAGAAACATCACTCATCTTTCAATTTCACTTTTCTCTCCCAATAATTCAATTTTCCCAATTCGATTTTTAGGGTTCCTCACGAAATGAGTTTCTCGTGAAGAAATAGAAAGACAATGTTTTCGGGTCGGGTGGGTGATGGCTCGGTTTATTAAACTAGGTTTGGTTATGTTTGAAAAGGTTTATTTCGGTTTAATTGGTTCACCCAGAAAAACCATTAAAATCGGCGGTATGGAGATAGAGACTTCGAACTTTGTTTTCTGGGGAGAAAGGAGATTTAAACATAGTAGTTGTGTGGAAATAGAACGAGAGCCAAAGTCTGTGTGGGTATGGTGATATATAATACTTTCCAGGGGGAAATAGAGCGTCTTTCCATTTAAATTAAAAGTATAATTGACAATGACAATAAACATGAATACAACATGAACCATTGTGTCTTTTTAACTATCCCACAAAAAGAAAACTGTCCAGGCATACAAATAAACACGATGGCTCACTTGTTATTCATCTTAGAAATGACATTGGCTCACCGGGGGGGGGGGGGCAGAGAAGTGGACGCCAAGAGCGGTGAGGTGGTGGTCATCAGAGTGTCTTCCATAAAACCCCATGATTTTCGAGCCTTCTCTTCGGAGAAGGAAGTACGTCCCTTTAAAGCGTCCATACCGCAGCATCCTTGTGTTGTTAAGCCGGAAAGTAATGGATGTGATTTGACTCTCAGTGTACGTCCCCTCGACGTATTCAATATACTCACCATAAGAGATATTAAGCTGTCAAATAGAAGATAATTAAAAAATCAAAGTCATATTCTTTGTGAAATGTTTTTTTTATTAATCAAATAAATTTTAATTTTTCATTCGAAAAGATTATAAGAAACCTTGTTCTTCTTTGGTAGATGGGTTGTCGGTCCATTCCCGTGACCGAGTCCGGCTACCTTAGCGTTATGTTTGATGTAGCCAAATTTGACGAAAATGCCACCAGAATCATTTTTTCCTATATATATTTTCTTGACCTGATCGAAGTAGCCGTCGTCCCACACGTTTCCTCCAACTCCGTTTCTCACTTCTATTCCGTTAGGGAGTGAGAAACGGGATTCAACAGGCCCCCTACCGCTCATCGTGAACCTAGGAACGTGGACAAGACTAGGAAAATAGGTACGGTGAGGTGGAAGATTTTCATGAACCAACTCATTTATTTTAATTTCATGGAACTTGTTTCCCTTGGCAATATAGATACAAGCCTTTTCGGCCTTATCATAACAACACAACACGAGACTAAGACTTTTTTCATCAATGAAGTAACTTGGCGGAAATATGCTCCAGAATTTTAAACTCGACCATTCAGGAACCAACACATTCATCAACTTCATCCACTCCACAGCCTCTCCATCCCATTTTTGAATCTTCTCTTTTGTCACCCAAATCTCTATATCCCTCGTATTATAATTTTGCTCTAGAACCGAAAATCGATCTTCCATATAAACTTCAAGGGATCTAATATCCAAATTACAGGTGATTTTATTAGGGTAGATGCAATAGAATTCAAATCTCTCTGTAGAGCAATCGAAAGTTTGAATACACTGCTCACCAGACAGTTGATTATAAGCAATCCAATACAAAGTTCCATTCAAGGATATACTGGACTGAAATAAATACATTGCAAAATCGTACGTTTTTATTTTCCTAGCATCAGATCCAAACTCGGTGATATAAACTTGATAAGTTTTACAATCTCGCATTTGACAATCAACGATCTTGTAGTGATTGTCGGGTCCAGAGCTGTCATATCCTATTCCATTGAAGATATAATCTACAGGGGATTCGATCCATCTAATCTGTCTCAGCCATGGGTTGCAAATCCCGATCCCGTTTCGTGTGCCAAACATCAAAAGCCCATGGCAACGTCCGAGTGTCATGAACATTGAATACCGATGATAACCGGGAATATATTGAGGTAACTTATGCACCTCTATAGAGGGACCATCAAGGTTAACTTCTACCGAACAAATCATGGAATTGGCAAGCAAGATAAACTGTGGACGGGCAAGACCCAAATCACTATTGAAGAACCTCTTTTCCTTTTCCTTGACTATAGTGTTCCATCGTTTACAAACGGATCTGATACGAAAGAAAACCATTGCTGGAACTAGAGAGAGTATTTTTTCCTCTAGTTCCAATGGAAGTTGCTCATGTTGCATTTTGTATTTTCTTTAGGGAAGAGGTTTATGATTTAAGAGATTACAATAAATTTTGTTTATATATAGATGTATTGGTCGTATATATACCAGAAGTATAAAATTCACTTTGGTATCAGTACCATATAAAGAACTAAGAAAAAAATAATTACAACAGATCAAAAAGAAGAACAATCTAGAAAATTTGTCATTTCTGATTCTTTTCCCCAAACAATAAAATAAAATAAGCTGATCTTAAATACAATATAATCTCTTTAAATTAATAATTTAGAAATTAATATACATTAAAAATCTCTATAAAATAATATAGTTTTATAGCCCTAAATTAAATTTTTGATCTAATTAATATATTGATAAATTAATAATCTCTATAAATTAATAAAAAATTAAAATATTGGTGTATTCCAACATTATTAATTTATAGAGATTTCTCTTTTCATTTGTCTTTATAATTATTAGAAAGATTGACTAAGAAAATAATAATTACAACAGATCAAAAAGAAGAACAATCTAGAAAACTTGTCATCTCTGATTCTTTTCTCCAAATAGTAAAATAAAATAAGCTGATCTTAAATACAATATAATCTCTTTAAATTAATAATCTATAAATTAATATACATTAAAAATCTCTATAAAATAATATAGTTATATAATCCTAAATTGAATTTTTGATCTAATTAATATATTTATAAATTAATAATCTCTATAAATTAATAAAAAATTAAAATATTGGTGTATGTAATAATCTCTTTTTTTTTGGTAAACATGTTAAAGTTGTATTATCATTTTCAAGTTTGTGATAGAAGTTACATAGAACTACTAGTACCAAAAAAAAAAAACAAAATGAAACTACTAACACAATGACAAAATACAATAAGGAAAACACGATTATGAGCTGAAACCAAGAGACAGAGGAGAGAACACACGGGAAGAACTTGAAGGGGTTGCCAAGAGCGTGCAACACGCAAGATCAAAAACTCCAAAAGAAGGCACCAGTTATAATATGAGTCACGAGCCGGTATAATTGGCTTCCCCAGGAACTCGCCTCCAAAAAATAGCCTTACCAGAAAAGCCCTACCACCTGCAACTGCACAGACACCATCGAGAGCTCGGAAACTCAGAGTAGACGACAATGGGACCGTACTGAGACGGCGAAACCAGCTAACCAGAACCTGTCGAAGCACCAGCCACCAATCCCCGCAAAACAGCCACCTCTACTCCTCCTTCCTGAAGCTCAAAGGCACCTGAATACTCCAAATACCCCCAAAGACCCCACCGGAACCACCAACACCCTAACTACGAGCCCAATAATCGCTCTTATTTGGAGAGGCAACTGGATGATAACCCGCCACAACCACCAGACCCTACACGACAAAAGGACACTAACACCACAGGGAAAAGAATCCGCGGAACTACACCCTATCTGCAGAGATTCTGTAGATTTCAAAGATTGTATAAAGACTAACTCTCTTTATTATTGATTAAGAAACTTACTCAAAACTTAAGCTCAATCTCCAAAACCTATATGTTATGCCACACTTTGACATCTCCATATATAGAGATTATAAAGTCCTAAACACACGAGATAATGATGCTTAGATAACTCCTAAAACATCAAGGACTTATCCTAATTCCTAATCCATAACTTGGTAGGAATATTTGGCTTTATCTCTAACTTATTTNACTTAAGCTCAATCTCCAAAACCTATATGTTATGCCACACTTTGACATCTCCATATATAGAGATTATAAAGTCCTAAACACACGAGATAATGATGCTTAGATAACTCCTAAAACATCAAGGACTTATCCTAATTCCTAATCCATAACTTGGTAGGAATATTTGGCTTTATCTCTAACTTATTTCAAGCTTATCACAACATTCTCCCCCTTAAGCTTGAAATCTCTTTTTCCCAAATCTTAAACTCCAATGAGACTGCGCATTTCTGTGAACTTGATACGCCCCAAAGCTTTAGTCAAAATATCTGCCTTTTGCTTATTACTTGAAACGTGCACAACACTGACTTGGCCCTTCTCTACACATTCTCTGATGAAGTGATATCTTGAGTGTATGTGCTTACTTCTACCATGAAAGACAGGGTTCTTGGAGAGTGCTATAGCTGACTGGTTATCGATCTTTATGGTTACCTTCTCACACGGCTTCTCTGTGACTTCACTCAGTAATTCTTGTAACCATATTGCTTGTTTAGCCGCCTCTGTTCCTGCCATGAACTCAGCCTCACACGAAGATAATGCCACTGTCTCTTGCTTCTGGGAACACCAAGTAATCAAGTTCTCTCCCAAGTAAAATATGTGGCCCGTAGTGCTTTTCCCATCATCCGGATCAACATTGTGACTACTGTCACTGTATCCCACCAATCTTGGAATGTCTGGAGTTAACCGCGTGAACACGAGTCCATATGACGTTGATCCTTGAAGATATCTCAAACAATCCTTCATTGCTACACCGTGTGACTCCTTTGGTTGGTGCATGTAGCGACTGAGAACACCTACAACAAAAGAGAGATCCGGCGTAGTATGAAGAAGGTACCTAAGACACCCAATATTTCTTCTGAAAGCTGTAGCATCAATGTCTCTTTCATCTTTGGCTTTTGTTAGTTTCATTCCTGGTTCCATTGGTATATGAGCCGATTTGCAGTCTTTCATGCCACTTTCTTCAAGTATCCTCAAAGCATTACGTCTTTGATTCAGCGTTATTCCTCCCTCACACTGACTGACTTCAATACCAAGATAATATGACAACTTGCCTAGGTCACTCATGTCAAACTTTGAAGCCATCTCTTTCTTGAAATCGTCTACAATCTTGGTACTAGCTCCAGTGACAAACAAGTCGTCTACGTACACTGCAACCACCAAAAGACCATTGTTCACCATCTTCCTGTAAACCGTCGGTTCCTTGGAACACCTTTTGAAATTCAAGTCATGCAGAATCCGATTCAATTTGTTGTTCCAAGCTCTTGGCGCTTGTCGTAGTCCATACAAAGCCTTGTGAAGTTTGTACACCTTTCCTTCACTTCCCTTCACCTCGAAGCCTTCAGGTTGTACTACATACACTGTCTCACTGAGTTCCCCATGTAAAAACGCCGTTTTAACATCTAGATGGTGAACCTCCCATCCGTTTGTAGCTGAGATACTGATAAGCAGTCGTATAGTCTCTAGTCTTGCAACAGGTGCAAACACTTCTTCGAAATCAACTCCATGTTGTTGCACGTATCCCTTAGCAACCAAGCGTGCTTCGTACTTGTTGATTGAGCCATCTGAGTTCCTTCTGATTTTAAATATCCATCTCAAACCTATTGGTTTCACACCACTAGGAAGCTCCACTAGACTCCACACCTTATTCTTGACAATAGAACTTATCTCATCTTCACATGCAGAGATCCATTCCGCACACTTACTAGCTTCTTGAAACGTTCTTGGTTCCAAGAAGATAGCTACGTTTAGAACAGACAGAGGTGGGGAATTTATGTCTCAAGCTTTCATTAACTTCTGTGAAGAGTCAGGCATAAAGAGGCACTTCACAGCCCCATATACCCCTCAACAGAATGGAGTGGTGGAGCGTAGGAACAGAACGCTAATGGAGATGTCTAGAAGCATCTTGAAACATATGCACATGCCAAATCATTTCTGGGGAGAGGCAGTAAGGCATGCGACGTACCTGATCAACAGAATAGCAACGCGAGCTCTTGATCTCAAGACACCATACGAGGTATATCGTGCAAAGAAACCCAACCTGTCTCACTTGCGAACTTTCGGGTGTATTGGATATGCAAAAACAGAGAAGATACAACTAAAGAAGTTAGATGATAGATGTCGGGTGTTAGTCCATTTGGGTACAGAACCCGGCTCAAAAGCTTATCGGATGTTGGACCCTGAAAGCAGGAGAATTGTGGTGAGTAGAGATGTAGTGTTCGACGAATCTAAAGGCTGGAACTGGAAGAAACCTAACCAAGATCAGGATGAAGAGTTCGTTGTTTCACTAGGTAACTTGAGTCAAAGAGAGCTACGTGAAATAGAAGAAACCAACGAACATGAGGAAACAGAGGAAGAAAGTAAAAGTCCTGATCATGAGGAGACAACAAACTCACCAGTGAGAGAAGAAAATTCTCATTCTGAAGACGATGATGACTGTACCGAACTAAGAAGAAGCCAGAGACAGAGTATGAAACCAAAGTATCTGGAGGATTATGTGATGTTAGCTGAGGAAGAAGGAGAATTAGTGCTCCTGTGTTTGAATGGGGAACCAAGAACGTTTCAAGAAGCTAGTAAGTGTGCGGAATGGATCTCTACACAAATTCCCCACCTCTGTCTGTTCTAAACGTAGCTATCTTCTCATTTGTTTCTCCCTCTATGATGCTCTTCAATTTCTTGAATTTAAGAAAAGTCTCACCCTTCTCTTTGAGTAACATAGTCCACATATATCTGGAATGGTCGTCTATAATCACAAACACGTATCGATTTCCTCCAAAAGTGTTTGGTGATATGGGACCACACAAGTCGCCATGAATGAGTTCAAGCGTCCTGGAGGCTCTATATGTGGATGCCTGCGGAAATACATGTCTTGCTTGCATTCCAAGTAAGCACGAGGAACAAACTTCTTTAGTGATTTGTACTCTTGGGAGGCCTGTAACTAGTTCCTTTTCCATCATCGTCTTCATTGTCGCGTGATTTATGTGTCCTAACCTTGCATGCCACCGTGTGGTTTCTCCCAAAGAAGTCAAGTAAAGTTGTTGTGTGTTCTCCATTAACCCCATTCGAACTTTGTACAACCGATTCTTTGATCTGTCTGCTTTCACTAAAAGTTTTCCTTCCTTATCATGCATAGTTAGATGATTTCCTCGAAGTTGTATCTCACATCCGGCCTCTGTAGCTTGCCCAAGCTAATAATATTACTCTTGAGGTCTGGAATAAAGTAAACATCA